TCCTTGGGTTCTGTAGGACCCAGGGGACTTACCCTCCTCCTGAATGGCTGCTCTTGTCACATGGGAATAACTGCATACACTCACCTGGAGCTCCCATCGTCATGGGTCACCATGAATAGCAAAGATTTCGAAGGGGTGCTCTGAATGAACTTGGTCATTGGCCCAGAGTTATCTGTAGGATCAAAGACAGACAGTAGTTCAGGGTCTTCTCAGTGAACAAGGCCCCACCCTGGCTGTGGGCTTCCTTCCCCCTCTGCTGCCTACCCACCCTGAATCCCCTGCTCCCTAGACTGGACTCAGGAGCACAGTCATGCTTGGCTACTTCCCCAGGACTGATGTTAGGGGTGCCATGGGACTCTGTCTTGGAGAAGCCCTGGAGACATCGACAACTTGCAGCAGGTACTCAGGATATAGCAAACATCAGTCCAAAGATGGAAACAAGGTTAGCCATACAGAGTGGAAACCCTGAATAAATTAAATCCTGAAGCTCTAGTTAGCCAAACCTACCACCAACCCTAGCTTCTGCAAGCACCTCTGCCATTGGAGACAAGAGGTCAGTCCCCAAAGGTGATGTCCTAGAGCATGATGCTCAGAGTTGCAACAGAACCTACACACAATAATCACAGGCCAAAAAACCCTCTGCTTCTGTTTCCCCATGGGGTCTACACAGTTTAGTCTTCATTTTAATCGGCAAAGACTTTTCTTACCGCCTTCATACATGTCAAAGTACTTCGCTGCTATCAACTTTCCAGTCTCATCTGAAAGCAGAAGAAATGGCTTTAAGGGAAAGCTCGTGGGACCCTAGTGAATCTGGAAGAAAAAGGATCGGAGTGGTCCCCAGTCTGGAAAGGGGCTGTGTGGGGGGATCATTCTTCCGAATCCTGGACAGAGCGACTCCATCTTGTTGTTCCAACCTGCAAACAGGCTGTCCTTCCCATGGGCTACATGCCGTCTTTCCCATGGTAGGACAGTGTTTGCTGAAACCAGAGCCCCTGACAAGAGCAAGGTCAGAGCACACAGAGCCAGGGAAGTTGAGCTTGGCCTGAATTCACATCTGCCTCTTCAACACTAGGTGGCACTCTGACCTAGGCTTGCTTAACTGTGGCCTGGGATCCTTCATAATAAAATAAAACCTTGGTAGGCAGGGGATGGGGAAGTGGCTGTGGCAAGGCTGTCTGTGAGTCACCCCGGTTCTAGTAAACAACCCTAATAAATTCACTCATGTCACCAGGCTAGACCTGTTGGACTCCTTGTCCGACCCATCTGCTCCTTCCTTGTTTGGGGTGAATCAAAGTGTCTTGCAACAATGGGCTTTCTTCAAAGGGAGGAGGTACCTGGCCACTTCTCTAGGACTGTCTAACCTGTGTCACTCACAGGGTCTGAATGCCCTTCTTCTTCCCCCTCTGAACCAGCAGAGCTTTCTACTTCACACTAGGTGTCCTGAGGGGTTACCTGACAGAGCCTGGTTTGTCCTGCCCCACAGCCCTGTCATCACTGTTTCCTGTAGTTGGCTGATTCCTGCATATCACCTTATTCTCTAACCTGCTGCGGTTCTTACTACAAGAGACCTCTAAAACACCCAGATCCCAGAGGAGGCTGATGAGGCACACAGCTCACGGCAGCCAGATAGAATTGGTCAGTGTTGTTACCCTTTACCCGGTCTGCAGGATCCAAGAGCAAAGGGACCCACGGCGAGAGTCTGTGTGGATCTGAGCTTCACGGTATCCTCTCTACCTGCCCTTCCTCAATTACAAAGTCTCCTTTAGATTCTGTTTTGGGTTATTTTGTTATTGTTGGACCACAAAAAGTAAGACTTTTAAATAATTATATCATTTTAGAGTTCATGACAGTGTAGACCTGGATATGAACAAACATGTTGGAAAACCATGGTCTTGAACTAGGGAGATGGCTCAGGGGATAAAACGCTTGCCTTGCAAGCATGAGGAACTGAGCTCAAATTCCAAGAACTCATGTGTAGCTGACACAGAACTGTGTGTCTGTAATCCAGGTGGAGATGAGAGGTGGAGAAGCATGGGCCAGCTAGTCTCTGCTGTACACAGTGGCAAACAGACCCAAAGAAGGGATACCAAAGAAAGGGTGATGTAAGGACTTACATCTGAGGTTGTTCTCTGACCACTACATACACTGCCAACGACACATGTATGCCCACACTTATGTGAATAAGCATGCATGCATCACACACACACACACACACACACACACACACACACACTGATTTTTAAAAGAAGCATCAAGGTATCTATGGAAATCCTATTTCAGGCTTTGAGGGCATTTCTGAGAAACATGCGCCACTTACAGTTGACGGTAGCGATGTTTATTCCTCTTGCCACGTTCCCCGTCTTCTCTCCTAACAGCCTAAAAAGCGAGTGAGAAGCAGTCAAAGATCTGGGTAGCTGGGTGAGCAGCCTTCCCTCAACAGAAACCCTCCCTCAACAGCAGCCTTCTCCCAAGCCTTCTGTGCTCAGGACACTGGCACTCCCTCTCCGGAGTGCTCCCCCAAATTACTCCACCATGCTCTGGACACCTGCAGGACTCAGATTCAGTTCCTGGGTACCTGGAAGCTGCATTTCATATTATCATCTTCATCAAAGGCCAGACAGGAAGGCTCTTCACTAAGGCTTCTCTCATCAGACCCTGAGAAGCCATGCCTGGTCTCACAGACTCGAGGGTCGGGGATAGCAGCTCCACCACAAGCTGGGCTTCCTCAAATCTCTGCTTCCTTCTGACCCAGTCTCTGCCTCCTTTTCCCTCAGGACCCACGGGCTTTGCCTGCCTCTTAGTGAGTCCCTTCACCCACCCACCAAGTACAACCCAGCTCATCTCCTTAATAAGCACTTTATATTGCATCACTTAATTTTTTCTTTTATCTTAAGGATATTTTTATTTAATAGGTGTATAGTTTGTGCACATGAGTGCAGTGCTTAAGAGGGTCAGAAGATGGTATAGGACAACCTGGAGCTGGAGTTAAAGGCAGTTGTGAGCTGCCGGATGTGAGTGCTGGGAACCGAAGTCAGATCCTCTAAAAGAACAGGTAGTGCTTCTAACTGTTAAGCCATCTTTCTGACCCATTTTTGCTTGTCAGTTGAAGAAAATGAAATGTCAATATCATATACATTTTAAATTCAATTTCCAGGAAGACTATAGTATTTGCTAGAGGTCTTAGGAATAATGTGTGTGTGTGTGTGTGTGTGTGTGTGTGTGTGTGTGTGTGTGTGTATGTGTGTTTGGGGTGTGTGAATTATATGTGCATGTAGGTGGTATGTCAGCATGTATCCATGTGTATGTGCATGTTCCTAAGTGTATGTGTGTGGCATATATACAAGTTTATGTGTGCACATTTCTGCACGTGCACTTGTATGCATGTGTCTCTGTCTGCATATGTGCAGGTGTGCACATGTGTTGTATGTTTACAATTATGTGTATATTCCGGGCCTTTGCCGAGGTTAGCATCATAAAGAGAATCTGGCTTGTCTTTCATGTCAAAGCTATAAGGTGGGCAACAGGCACTTTAGCATTCTGCCTCTGGCATGTTTAACTAGAGGCCTCCAGGAGCCACAAGGCCTAGTGCTTTCTCAGTGTTACAGAATAGTCCGTAAGTGCCCCAAAAGAGTCAAGGAAGGACTTCCATTCCCAGTAGTAAACAAAACAAAACAAAACAAAAACAAAAACAAAAACAAAAACAAAAACAAAAAAACCTGGGTAAGTGTAGCCTCCACAGGAAGCAGGAGGAAGACATTTTAAAAAGGTCTGCTGGGAGGCAATAGTGGTGTACCCCTTTAATCCCAGCAGAGGCGGGTGGATCTCTGTGTGTTCCAGGCCAGCCTGGTCTACAAAGTGATTTCAAGGACAGCCAGGTCTGTTACACAGAGAAACCCTGTCTTGAAAAGAACAAATAAATAATAAATAAACAAACATAAAAATACAAAGATCTGCTCGGTTAAGAGACCCCTGAAATGTAGCCAAGAACTTCCCAAGCCAACAGCTGACAGATATTGAAGGGGTATCTCTAACACTGAAGGAGACCTTTGTCCTTGCAGGAACATTCACAGCTCAACAGAAGGGACCCTGGAGAAAACGAAAGCACGTCAGACAGCCATGGAGGTCTTAGGGACAAAAGTCTGAAGGCAAATTGAGGGCCACATCAACTCTCTCTGATCTTATTATGTTAGAGTCACAAAAGATGGAATAAAGAAGACAAAAAACAAAAAGAACAGACAAACACAGAATTTATGGCCTTTAACCCAGATTTTGTTGAACTAGGTAATCCAGAAAATGATGACATTTAAAATGTGTTCGTGTCACCCTGATCTGCCAGTAGCTCCAGGTCCTGGGAACAGCAAATGAGAAAAGAAGACAGAAACCCCCACCTTGCTGTGCTTCCGCTGTGACTGGGGAATGTCCCCTGCCGGTTCCTGTGTTGGGAGTTTGGTCCCAGCATGTCAATGCTGAGATTCTGTAAGAGACTGTGGAAGGGGGCTGGAGAGATGGCTCAGCGGTTAAGAGCACTGACTGCTCTTCTAGAGGTCCTGAGTTCAATTCCCAGCAACCACATGGTGGCTCACAACCATCCGTAATGAGATCTGGTGCCCTCTCCTGGCATGCAGACATATGTAGAGGCAGGATGTTGTATTCCTAACAAATAAATAAAAATCTTTAAAAAAATAAAATAAAAAAAAAAAAAAAAAAAAAAAGAGACTGTGGAAACCCCTGGAGGAGGGCCAACTGTCCTCAGAGGGACAAGTGCTCTTAAAGTATGTTAATTCCCCAAGGAGCAATTCGTTGTAAAAGGGCAAACCTGGCTGCTGGGTGTCTTTGGCTTGCTTCTGACCATGCAATGTCTGTGACTATTCTAGATATTGTGAAGCCACTTGCTAAGAGGCAGGACCATGCTCTCTGGCCCTCTTGGGTTATGAGCCAGAATTCTTTTCTGCATAAACCATCCACCTTCTGGTATCTATCCCTTGCTGCTGTTTTTACAGGAATTCTCAGATGTGCTGCCTGGCACACTGACAGAAGAAGCTTGACACATGAAGAAAGAAGTCAACGGGAGCAAGAGCCAAAGGAGCCAGCAGAACACAGCAGACAACAGTGGCACATTCACAGGCTCCAGCAGGCAGGCCAACTGAGCGTCGAGATAGCAACACTTAACACATTCCAAAAAAAGGGTGGGAAAAACAGAAATTTTCAACTGGAAGTTAAAAAAAATTGGCAGGCTCACTTGGGGAAAAGAAAGAACTTAAAAACTAAAATGGCATGATAATCTAAAAACGGTAGTCAATGGCTGGTGGGTTTATGGACAGATTAGACACAGTAGAACACACTAGTGGTGACATGAGAAACAGTTCTGTTCACAGTTAAGCATAGAGAGAGAAATGTGGCAAATGGAAAGGGGACTGTAGGGTACCAGGAACAGAGTAATAAGGCTCAATTTTTATTGCTTTTTAGCAGGAAGTGAGCTGAGCAGCAGCCTTTATTGATCTCTGACTAAGTGACAGAATGTGACTTGCTGCTCCAGGACCTGCCCCTGCAACTTCCTACCCTAATGTACTGTGCCCTCAAACTGTGTGCCAACATAAACCCTATCTCATGTGTGTTGCTTTTGTGCAAGTATTTCATCATAGCAATGGGGAAATTTATCAAACACAATTAAGGATTTTAAAGTGCACGTATTTAAGAAGCCCTAAAATATCTAAATAAGACAAAGCAGGACACACCAGGGGACAAATGCTGAGAACAGAGATAAGCAAAAATACCTGAAAAGCACTGACCACATCAAGACCCGGGTCTTAGGTTCCACCTCACACCCCATAAAAGGAACTATCTAGAGATGTGCAGGCTTCACCTGTGAAGATGAGAATCACCGGACTACTGAGCTTAGTTGTGACCAACACTGCTAGGATCCTCTCCAGAAGAGGTGACTTGTAGAGCCCTGAGCTTCTACTAAGTAGCTGTATTTGTAGTTAAAGTCTCTTCACAAAGAAAAGTCCAAGCCTGGGTGGCTTAACTGGTAAATTACATGGAACTACCATAAAAAGATACCATAAAAACCCAACCAAGAACGCAAACAGCCCTCAGAGACACCCATCACCCTTCCCCAGGAATACAGTGAGTGTATTTACTCCACCACCTGATTTTTCAGTCTTGCCAGAGGTTAGGGACACGTAAGGGCAGCCTCAAAGGTACAAGGGAGGGCACAGACAAGCAGACACTCATCTTCTTACACACAGTACTTACAGCTCATCCTCAAAGCAGATCTTGGCAAACTTGTCCATGCCACCACCACTGAGCAATCGGTAGGCATAGGTGTCAGGAGGACAGGGGCCCCAATGGTCACATTTTTGCCTTTTCGGGGCTGGGGCTGTAAAGACAAGAACAGGACAATCACATTTGCTCCTCAGGGGTGACTGCTGTTTCAGGACCAGCTCCCACTGTGGTGGGGAAACCGTAGAAGCAAAGATGGCAGCTGTGTTTGGATCCCGAGAATGCCTCTGAAGATACATGGTTGATGTGACCATGGTTTTGTCTTTTGGTAACAGCCTGAGATAATGAGCGTGGGTAGCCATTTCAAGAAGTGTTAGGATTGCTGCCCTCAGCTACTAACTCACAACATAATGAACACTGGCAGACACAAGCTTTTAGGTCACAGCAGACTTGAACTACACTTCAGGCCACATGACCCTAAAAGATGTACAAAGCATGTCCATCTTACAGTAACAGAATACATACTTCTCTCCAGCATACAGAGAACATTTTGTATACTTGGCCTTTGCCAAAATACCAAGAAGCAACTAGAACATTCTCTCATGAAGACCTTGTGTTAGGGAATAAAACAAGACAAAAAACTAAAGGTTGGAAGAATGTTTCCTTGGGATTCAGAGCTAGCTCCATAGTTAAGGGCTTCTGAAATTCCTCTTTTCTTGTTTCACCACCATGTTTTCAGAAAGCACTTAAAACATTTTTTTTTTGGTTTTATGAGACAGGGTTTCTCTGTATTGTTTTGGAGGCTGTCAGTCCAGCCTGGCCTCGAACTCACAGAGATCCGCCTGCCTCTGCCTCCCGAGTGCTGGGATTAAAGGCGTGCGCCACCACTGCCTGGCTTAAAACATTTTTAAAAGATAAAAAAAAAATTATTTTTTAGCCACTGTGGTGGTGTACACCTTTAATCCCAGCACTCGGGAGGCAGAGACAGGTGGAGAGTTCGAAGCCAGTCAAGTCTACATAGTGAGTTCCAGGACAGCCAGAACTACATAGTGAGACCCTGCATCAAAAACAAACAAATAAATAAAAACAAACAAACCAGGCACTGGTGGCTCACATCTTCAATCCCAGCACTTGGGAGGCAGAGGCAAGCAGGCAGATGTGAGCAGAAGTGTGTAAGATAGAGAAGACTAGGGAGTAACAGAAAAGGACTCACACTATGAAGGAAGAGCAGCAGAGCTGGCATGACTTTTAAAAAAGAAAGACCAGGACGAGCCAAATAAGATCATGTACGAAGAAAGAGGGAGTCTGACACCACAGGACAGATGGCTGTTACTCAGACAAACAATCCTCACACCACAAACTGGGTGACCCTATAAGGACTCCATACGCTCTTACAACCTACCAAGACCAATCATGAAGAAATAAAGTACCAAACAGGCCAATTACAAACAGAGGCTGAATCAGACATTTAAAGATCCTCAGATTCTTCAAGAAACTGAAAGGGGGATCTTCCAATCCATTAAGGAGGCCAGCGTTATCCTGATACCAAAGCCAGACAAGGACACTGCCAAGAAGTAAATTACAAGCCAAGTTCTCTGATGACCATAGACACAAAAATCCTCCCCCCAAAAACTGATAGCCCAGATGCAGTAGCACACTGAGGGGTCACCCATCACAACTAAGTGGGATCTTCCCTCAGTTTGCAAGGATGGTTCAACCCATGCATATCAACACGCATGAGACCATGCAGACCAAAGGAAGGACAAAAGCCTCACTGGGGTATCAGTAGATAAGGGGAGGGGGAAACTAGATAAAATTTAGTACTTTTTTATGATGAAACTCTCAACGGATTAAATAGAGAAGGGCTACACAGTGAGGACTGTATTGGTGCGGAGAGTCAAGTCTGAGTTGGGAGGTTTTCTCTGAAACTACGAACACGTTAAGACAGGTGGATAGAGCTAAGTCATCTCACATTGGACACAAAAGCAGAACTCAAACAGGATCAAAGACTTGAGTATAAGAACAGAAACTGTAAAACATGGGGAAAGCCTTAGTCATGTTGGCCAGGCAATGATTTTTCTGAAATGACCTCAAAAGCACAGAGACACAGGCAACAGAGGAGAAAGTAGACAACTTAGATTATTACATCAAACAGAGCAAAGAAGGTGGGCAGTGGTGGCCAATGCCTTTAATTCCGGGACTTGGGAGGCAGAGGCAGGCAGATCTCTGTGATTTTGAGGTCAGCCTGGTCTCCAGACTGAGTTCTGGGACAGAAAGGGCTACACAGAGAAACCCTGTCTCTGAAAACAAACAAACAAACAAAAAACAGAGCAAAGAAAGAGACAATCAAAAAGAACAGGAAATAGTTCTGGGCCAGTCATCAGCTACAGGCTAAGGTCCTAAGTACATAAGGAACCCCAGAAGTTCAACAACAAGTTTTAAAACTGATTAAAAAATGGACAAGGGGTGGCTAAGATGAGACCCAAGTCCCATTCCTGCGTCTTCCTGGGTGTTTCTAAAGATGATAGCATCCTGTGTTCACTGCAGCTTACTTACAGTGTGAAGTGTGATGTGTGTATACAATAAAATACTATTGCATACACACGTAAAAGGGAAGGCAATCCTGCCACTTTGGAAAAAAAATGGTGAGGACATCCTGCCAAATGAAGTAAGTCAAACATAGAAAGACAAACGCCACAAAACCTAAATCTAAAGAAGTTAAACTCAAAGACATAGAGCTGAATAGTGGTCACCAGGAACTGGGCAGGTTAGAGAGTGTGGGAGGGGGAGTGGAACGGCTTTGTTAAGAGTACATGTGAGTTAGATGAGATCTGAGCTTGTTTGATCAAGAGACTTGCCATGGGATGTAGTTGATAACACACTGTATTATATACTTGGAAATTGCTACAAGAGCCGCCTTAACCTGCAAAAGGACTTCTAGCCAAAAGCTTTGCTGCTGAGCTCCAGTTGGACACCTACCATGTCTGCATAGATCCGAGTGGCACACTGTATCCACATGTACATACAGATTTGACTCCTGAATTTCAAAGTTAATCAGTCTACTGAAAGGAGCCCTTCAGGCCAGCAGGAGGACTCAGCAGGAAGCGGTACTTGGTGCCAGGCTTGAGGTCTTGGGTTTGACTCCCCAGAGCCTGCATGCTGGAAAGAAAACCAACTCTCAATGTCCTCTGACCTCCACACCTGTGCTACAGCAAGCACATACACATGTGTGCATGCGGGTAATACGTCTTCCTAAAAGATAGCAACCCTGATGCTGTTTACAGCTTTATCCCTGGAAGAACTTGCTGGAACAGGTCAAGGTTCAGAGAGCTGCCATGGTGTCCAATGTGCTGTTGTGTCCCTAAAGGACACGACCCCAGACATGACTTCTTGGGGGATCATAGTCCTCTGTCCCCAAAAGGAAAAAAATAGCAGAGATGGCTTCCTCTCCTTCAGGGTGGTCTGGACTCCTCTTTGCCTGCCCTCTGTCTCCTCAGCCCAGTCCAGCCCCACACCAGTATCCCCTGCAATGTCTTTTTATTGCCTTTTGTTAACTCTAGCTTACAGTTTCCTTTTTTAAAAAACATCTCCAGAGAAGCAGAGATTTTGAGTAGCACCTCCCCAGTGGGCAGTGCTGTTGGAGTCTGGTAGGCTGAGCCATGTGTACATGAGCACATGAGTTCAGTGAAGAGAGATTCTGCCAGCACCATGTGTGGAAGCTGGATGCAGGTCAGCAGTACAGCACACACAACACACCGGGAACCCCTCCACTGTAAAGAGAACGAGAGGAATGACAGGAGACCCTGGGAGCAAGGACAGCACGCTGATCCGTTTCTACTATTTCCCTTCCTACAGATTCTGATTATTTAGACCAAAAAAAAAAAAAAAAAAAGAAGGAAAGAAACAGAAAAAAGAAAATCCCATACATTTTCATTCTTGAGGAGGAATCTTTACTATCCTAGCTTTACAGCTATTTCCTTCTGGACTTTTCCATGCACACAAAAGGCATCTGCAAAGTCGGAATATTAATTAAACATATTTAAACACCATGCCCTGTTAATCTTGAGTTTCAAACACAATACTTAATGTGGTTCTTGTCAATCTCTAGGCAGCCAACTTAAATCAACTATTCAACTCAATATAAAAAAAGTGCCGCATACATGTTATCTTCTCTACATTTCTAGATAATTTTTAACACTCTACAGCATGTCTAACTATTTTAAAAGATTTTGTGTCTGTGTGTGTGTGTTGCATATCTGTGGGTGTGCCAGTAAACACACGTACACATGCACAATCAGAGGCCAGTGGAGGGTGCCAAGTGTCTACTGCTCTTTGCATTATTCCTTTAACATAGGGGTCTCTTACAGGACGAACAGCTTGCTGCCTTCGA